AGATGCCATGTCACAGGCGTTGGCTTTACCCACTGTAACACAAGACCAGACCCTCAATATAGAATTCTCGGCTTACATTCTTTTTTCCTTCTAAAAATTCCATAGGAACGGTCTCCCTGGGGTTGGTGCTGTGGCTTAGCAGGTAAAGCCACTGCCTGTAGTGCCAACATTGCATATGGGCGCCAGTTTGAGTCTTGGCAGCATGCTCTACTTCTGATCCAGCTCTCTGCTATGGCCTGGGAAAGTAGTAGAGGATGACCCAAGTCCTTGGGCCCCTGTATCTGTGTGGGAGGTCCCAAAGAAGCTCTAGAATCCTGGCTTTAGATCAGCCCAACTTCTGCTATTGCAACCATTTGGGGAGTGAACCAGTGGATAGAGGGTTTCTCTCTCTCTCCCTCTCCCTTCTTCTCCCTTGCCTCTGCCTCTTGTTCTCTGTAGCTCTTTCAAATAAATAAACCTTTAATAAAGAAACTGTCTCATTGTTTCTTGTGTCTTTTTTTCAAAATAATTTTTACTCATAATTCTTTTTTTTTAAGATTTTATTTGAGAGGTAGAGTTACAGACAGTGAGAGGGAGAGATAGAGAAAGGTCTTCCTTTCATTGGTTTACTCCCCAATTGGCTGCAATGGTTGGAACTGAGCTGATCCAAAGCCAGGAGCCAGGAGCTTCTTCCAGGCCTCCCATGTGGGTGCAGGGGCCCAAGGACTTGGGCCATCTTCTATTGCTTTCCCAGGCCATAGCAGAGAGCTGGACTGAAAGTGAAGCAGCTGGGACTTGAACCAGCACCCATATGAGATGCCAGCGCTTCAGGCCAGGGCGTTAACCTGCTGTGCCACAGTGCCAGCCCCCATCTATCAGATCTTAACTTAGGCTGCAGGAAAGGTAGGAAGGATAGCTCATGTGGGATGAATATTGAAACTATAGACTTTGTGTAAATACAGAGAGGGTGAGAATGAGGGCTGTAGGTAGGCAGCTAGCTTTGACAAGCACCAAGACTCAGATGTGAGGAAAAGCATGGTGGGTTTTGTGACTAAATTGCAACTCTTAGAGCCAGAATGAGTGTGGTGGGCTCAGGAGAAGCCATGGCAGCCAAATGAAAAATGCCTCATAGGTTATGTGACCCTTAGAGAACCCAGAACCCCACCCAGTCCAGCTTATTCATAGAGAAGTCTCTCTTAAAAAAAAAAAACCTTCAGTTCAGTAACAAAAACCAACCAAAATCATGAAGCAGCTCTAATCTTTACTTGCATGTCTCAAAGATCATTAAAATCTTCACATCCCCCTCCAAATCCTACTTTCTCTTCCTGCTCTTCTCTAACACCACAAAACTGCCCTGAATCTGTTAATTTTCAGTATTTTCTTGCCACCCAGGTCTTGTCTTCCCAGACGCCCTCTTTCTCGTCTATCTTTTAAGTATACTCAATGTCTCTAGATCCTTTTCCTTCTCTGGTGATTTCTTTGTCTAACTTCCTGATCCTATGTCCCCAAAGATACAGAATAGGCCTGACGGAGCTATTTGAAAGCTCTTTGCAGAGAAGGGAGGAGAGAAAGAGGAAGTATGTGTACTTTTATAAGTACACTGCCAATTACACTTAGGAACCTGGACTTTATTTTGCAGCTAGTGGCAGCCAGAGGAAGATTTCTAGCCAGGGAATGACATAGCCAGGTTTGCATGTTAGAATGTTTAGTTTCATAGGGTTGCAGAGAACAAACAAATAATTACTCCAGTTATATAAACATAGTATGTGCTTATCCTAACTATCCTGATACAGGACATAAGGGAACTTGTTATCACAGATAACTTCAAACAGCTTAGCTAAATATAAATAAAAAATCAGGATCAAGGAAAACTATCTCTGCAAAAATGAGTGGTGTTATGGTTTCTTTGATTCAACTTCAAACTTATCAGAGTTGTTTCTGGAGTACTAGGTAGGACAGCTGCTAACCTCAGCCTATGACAGCAATTGTGATAGTTGGCTTCAAAAGTGATTTCTTAGGGATATTTTTGATAAGATGATGATTAAGAACACAGTATAAATTTAACTTTAGGAACTATAAGGACTTTTTGTCTAATAAAAATTTAAGAAATGTGGAAAATTAAGCTATAGGGACTGGGTATACTGCTTTCTAGTGTGTCAGAATCAGGAACATGAAATAGAATCCTAAAGCATAACAGTTAGCATATTCATTACCTGTTATTTCTTAGAAGTTTAAGAAAATTTACCTATTTTTATTTGAAAGGCAGAGAGGGAACACATGTGTACACACTCACAGTGAACTTTGGTTTGCTGATTCACTCCCCAGATGTTTTCAAAACCAGGGCTGGGCCAGGCTGAAATCAGAAGTCTAGAACTCAGTGCAAGCCTCTCATGTGGGTACGGGTCCAAGTTCTTGAGCTGTCACCTGCTGCCTCCCAGAATGCACATTAACAGGAATCTGGACTTGAAAGTGGAGATAGAACTCAAATCAGGCACTCTGATAGCTGATGTGGATATTCTAAATGGAATCTTCACTTCTGAGTCAACGGACTATCTCTTAGAGTTTTGATAGGTGCCGCAGAGAAAGGGGGCATATTTAAAAGCAGAATTGTTTGGCGGCAATTGTTGTGATACAGTGTGTTTAGCTGCTGCTTGGGACACCTGAATCTTGTATCAGAGTGCCAGTTCAAGTCCAGGTACTCTTCTTCCAATCTGGCTCCATACTAAAGTGCCTAGGAGGCAGCATGTGATGGCTCAAGTACTTAAGTTCCTGCCACCCACCTGAGATACAGGGACGGAGTTTCTGGCTCCTGACTTCAGCCTGTTGCAGCTCTGGCTATTGTGGGCATTTGGGAAATGAACCAGCAAATGGAAGCGCGTGCTCTCTCTTCTCTCTCTCTCTCTCTCTCTTTTAAATAATAAAATAAATAAATAAATGAAAGTAAATGTATCTGATTTATTCTTGACATAGAAACGCAAATCTCTGTAGAGTTACTGGGAAAGTCTGATTCTAAGTTTCAGGCTGTCTGGACATATTTATGCCATAATAAGCATTTCCATATTAAATGGTTCATTATGTGGTTATTTCCCTATAAGGGAAATTTGGGTCTCATCTGAATTTCATCCTTGGTATTTATATTTAACGTATAAGTCAGAATCGACTTCTGTACCCTCAGGAGAAATACTTAATGCAGCAGAAAGGGGTTTCTCAGGCTTTGATGCATCTTAGGGCTACCTGGGGTCTCAACTTTTTGCTGTGTTCATGCCCTCATGTGGTGTTCCCTCCGAGACCCTGGGTTTGGCTATGGGGCTTGTTTTGGCCAATAGAATAAGTGGGTGGTTAAGACGCTGGTTAGGACGTTCCTTATATCAGGCTCCCAACTCCAGCTTCCTTGCTGAGGCAGACCCTGGGAGGTGGCAGTGTCAACTCAAATGATTCAAGTTCCTGGCTGCAGCCCTAGTTCAGCACCGGGGAGTGAACCAGAGAGGATGGAAGATGGTTCTCATGTGCAGGACAGCACAGCCACCAGCGGAATAGTGAGATCAGAAACCCTGCTCTCAAGCTGCTATGTTTAAAATAGTTAGGCAGAGAGAGAGAGAGAGATCATGGGGATATCTTACCACTGGACAGAGGGAGGCTTTGCATCACCCTAGCCTCTGGCTTGCAGCTGGCCAGAAACTGCCTTAACACTGGGCAGTGCAACAGATGGCTCTGGGGTGCGAATCCCAGGTGGGACCTCATGCTTGTATGCTGAGAAACAGCTCTGCCATATGCCCATTCTTCACATGCAATTTTTTTTAAAAAGATTTCTTTTTATGTATTTGAAAGAGTTACAGAGAGAGGTAGAGACAGAGAGCGGTCTTCCATCCACTGGTTCACTCCCCAGATGGCTGCGACGGCTGGAGCTGTGCCGATCCAAAGCCAGGAGCTTCCTCCAGGTCTCCCATGTGGGTGCAGGGGCCCAGGGACTTGGGCCATCCTCTACTGCTTTCCCAGGCCATAGCAGAGAGCTGGATTGGAAGAGGAGCAGCTGGGACTAGAAACAGAGCCCACATGGGATGCCGGCGCTTCAGGCCAGGGAGTTAACCAGCTGTACCACAGTGCCAGCCCCTACATGCAATATTAAAAACAGCCTAAGGAATCAGATACTCAGACTCCTAGTTAATAACCTGATTTTGCTTCATTCTGTGGGTTTTAACTAGGACAGCCTCAAGCCCAGTACGTGGCGCTCTCTTCTGAGTTCTTTCACCATTTGTGCCAACTGGAGACTGTTTCTTCTGATAGCTTAAGTGGATCACAACACGTAGATTTCCCCAAAGGACCCATCTCCTCCAGCACTTGGACCATGGGCCCTCCCGTCTGACTGCATCCATGTGGGTCTGTGCTGGGGCTCATCCCTGAGGTATCTTTAGGGTGGGAATGCCCAACGGGCTCCCTGTGATGGGCCAACTCCGAATCCATACACTTTGCACTCCAGGTTGCTTTCATTATAAATTACGTGGTGATCTATTAGCAATGTCTGCCTTGGCAATCCGCTTCCATTAGATGCACCTAGAAGAAGGGTGTTAATGGGGAGGGACTACAGTGCAGGCCAAGGGCTCAGAAAGGGACAAGGCCTGTGCTCCAGGCTCAACAGAAGTGGTGGTTCTGCTACCGGAGCTGTCAAACCGGCCAGGGGCTGAGCGGAGAGCTGGAAGGCCATGGAGCCCTAAGCGACCTCTGCAGAGCCCTCGTGGAGCAGCCCAAGCCACAGGGAGCCCGGAAGGACACCCTCGCTGGCTTTAGCTCCTTCTCTCCCTTAGAGTCCATCTTATCCGGGCAGAGACAGCTGCTGGCCTCAGAATGTTCGATGCCACTCAAGGGGAGAGCAGACACTTGGTGTGGCGCTCACCCAGGCGTGACCTTAACCTCTGGATAAAAATGTGGCGCTTCCCCGGGCCAAACTACAAAGGTTCATCTTTTTTTCTACGTGCTGCCAAGAAACCACAGTCACGTGAGAGGACGGTCTCTTTTTAACCGAGTTCCAGGACTAGGACACGCGGCTTTGAGACCCACAGCCTCAGTGCTAGACGCGAGAGAGCAGGTGAGAGGATGGTGCAGGGGCCAGAGACCAAACGCAGCAGGTCCCTGCTCCTCGCACAGGCCATGGGCTACTTCGTCCAGCTGACTTTGGGGATGTGGTGATGCCCGGTGAGTGTGTCCGGGTGTGTGTGGAAGTCCCCCACTCTCTGCTTGTGGGTTTTGGACGCTTGCTTCAGGATCCGTCCCCTTTGCCGCTCCTCCTGCGTCTTCTGCTATCTGCCCCGGCAGCCGCTTGTCCAGGTAGCGCCGCTTCGCCGCTTCATTCTTTTGGCTTGCTCCCGTTGCTTTGAGAAGTTTCGCCGTGTTTTGGTCCTTTTTCTTTTTCCGCTTGGTCACTCCACGTTTTGGGATGCCTTTCAGCTCCAGCACACCCTTTTACAACTGCTCTTAGACCTACATGGAGCCTGCCTGTGGCTCAAAAAGGTGACTTCCTTCCTTCCTTCCTTCCTTCCTTCCTTCCTTCCTTCCTTCCTTCCTTCGTAGCGATCTACGTAGTGGTAGTGTCAAGGGTGGAGCGTTTAGTGCATGAAAACTTAGTCATTCAGATAACAGTTACTTGTGTCATGCTTATTCATTATATTTAACTTTTTAAAAAAATATTTTTATATCTGATTCTATGCTAGTTCCCCTTTTCATTATACCACAATGTTGAAGTGTATGTATTTTTAACCTTAGGTTAACATTCAGTATCAATCAAAAACTTCGTCAGTTTTACATATGGAGGGAAAATGAAGTATATAAAGAAGTTTAAAACATTTGGAAATAAGGAAATAAAATGATTGGATTGGGCCCTTTCTTTTTGTGCATGGGAATATTCCATAAATAATTTTTATCTCTATCTTAGAATTGCAAATATTCTTTATTTAAATTTAAGTGCTTTAAAAATCATTTAATATGAATTCTAGATCATCAGATATGTGACAGCAAAGGTATAATCTTCCTGCAAATTACTTTTTTAGCAGAAATATTTGCATGTGAAGCAGCTTATTTTTCTCAGAATGTATGCTTTTCCCAGAAACCAATAATTTCCCTTCAGTATTTTAAATCAGTATTTTTCTCTTTTTCCACAGTGTGTTGATGGTGGTGGGAAACTACTTGAGACTCTGTTTAGCTATGTAGATTTTGAAATTATTATGTCTTTCTCAATGGGGAGGTCATTTGAATTGGAAATCAAAGTGTTGATTCAGGATAGAAACACTGATGCAGCATTTTACCGTGTGACAACATCAGAAGTTCAAAGTGAAAATTAGAGAAAGTTGCAAGTGAAGGAAGATGCCTTGAAGTTCAAATCCTCCAGAAAAATTCAGTAAAACTAGAGGTGATTTTCCAGAGATGTAGTAATGATTCAGTTGAGTTAAAGTTTTAACTTAAGAAAAAGAAAACTATGTTTTTTTTTAAAAAAGAATTTTGACTGGCAAAGTTAAAAAAATTATAAAAAAATGAAAAGAATTAAATAATCTTTTAAAGCTCTTCTGGTGATGGTAACATCTTTTTTTTTTCTCAAAGATTTATTTTATTTATTTGAAAGACAGAGTTACAGAGAGGTAGAGACAGAGAGAGAGGTCTTCCATCTGCTGGTTCACTCCCCAGATGGCTGCAACAGCTGGAGCTGTGCTGATCTGAAGCCAGGAGCCTGGAGCTTCTTCCGGGTCTCCCACATGGGTGTAGGGGCCCAAAGACTTGGGTTATTTTCTACTGCTTTCCAAGACCATAGCAGAGAGCTGGATTGGAAGTAGAGCAGCCAGGACTTGAACTGTGCCTATATGGGATGCCGGCGCTTAAGGCCAGGGCTTTAACCCGCTGTGTCACAGTGCTGGCCCCCATGATGGTAACATCTTTCTAAGGTTGAGGAGTCCTGTTTTCTTCCTGATGGATGGACTCATTTTTGGTTCATTGAGCCTAGATTCCTGCAAATAAAACATCTCTGAATTTCACATGAAGCTGGTGTAACACATGGGCACTATCTGTGTATAAAAAATCCTTCTGCAAAAAGTAAGGAATTCTCAGCTACTGTACCCTTGCTTCTTCTACTCTGCTCTAGCAATTTCTCATGGTTTACACAAGCCCTCTTGTAAACCATCCTATGTGGTTCCTGGTTCCAGTCTTACCTAACTGTCTCGACTTTATAACATTGTCATTTTGAGAACTATTTTGTTCCTCACCTCAGAGTGCTACTTCCCTACCTTCTTATGGTGTCTTGATGACTCTTTTTAATCTCAACTTTGGTCATCCTTGCTTACTCTGTTAGACAATGCTGTTTGCTCAGTCTCGGGCTAGTGCTGCCCACTCATTCAGACCACAGGAGGTGCTGTCTGAGGTCAGGGAGGCTTGACTCCTGCTCAGAGAAACAGCCATGCTTCTACTCATCCTGCCAAACCCCTGTCGTCATGTAAAATGCAGTGTGAATTTTGTCTCCTGATGAAAAGTAGAAAGGGAACCTATGGACTTTGATAGAAAAATCAGTTATTCTGACCCAGTCAAGTGAGAACCAGGCCTTTATAATCAAGGGTCCATCTCTAGAGCATTGGCTTTGTTTTGTGTGCTTGGAAGTGGTACCCCATGGTAGCTGGAGAAACCCACTATGAAGACGACAGACCATTTGGAAAGCATCTCTTTGGTATCTAATTAGCATATATATTTCTTTTTTTTCTCCAAAGAAACATTTTATTTAATGAGTACAAATCATAAGTACAACTTTAGGAATATAGTGATTTTTCCCACCATACCTGCCCTCCTGAGCCCACTCCCACCCCACCTCCTCCTTTCTCTCCAATTCCCTGTCCCGTCTCCATTAAGATTCATTTTTCAATTAACTTTTACACAGAAGATCAACTCTATACTAAGTAAAGATTTCAAAAATTTGGGACACGCACACACACACACAAACTGAGAACAAGTTTTACAGTTAATTCTCATCATACAACTCATTGAGGACGGAAGTCCTGCATGGGAAGTAAGTGCACAGTGACTCCTGCTGTTAATTTATCAATTAACTCTCTTAGGTATGGTGTTAGTGATCATCAGAGGCTCTTGATATGAGCTGCCTAGGCTATGGAAACCTTTTGAGTCCACAAACTCTGTCCATAAGCAAAATGAAGTTCTCTCCTCCCTTCAGAGAAAAGTATGTCCTTTGATGGTCACCCCTTTCCACAGGGGTCTCTTTCACAGAGATCCTTCATGTTGGACTTTTTTTTTTTTTTTTTTTTTTCCATAGTGTCTTGGCTTTCCATGCCTGAAATACTCTCACATATCTTCTGAAAGCTTCATGTCAGATAAAAACTGAGGCTTAAGTGCTTAGCAACTATATTATATTTTCTTTATGAATAAAAAATGTTTTTAATTGACATAGTAATTTTATGTATGTATGGGGTATCTTGTGGTGCTTTAATATATGTATACAATGTGTAGCCAGCATATCAGGGTAATTGGCACACTATCACCTCAAATATCTATCATTTCTTTGTATTGGGGACACTCAAAAATCCTTTCTACCTGCTATTTTGAATTATGCAGTTAATTGTTGTCACCCACAGCTATGCTTCTGGGCAAAATTCTTCAACTAATTATTTTAAGATTTTTTGTTTGTTTGTTTGCAGAATTACAGAGAGGGCAGGGTGAGAGATCTTCCATCTGCTGGTTCACTCTCCAAATGGCCCAACAGCCAGGGCTGGGCCAGGCCCAAGTCAGGAGCTTTATCCAGATCTCTCATTTTAGTGCAGGGGCCCAAGCATTTGGGCTATCTCTTGCTGCTTTCCCAGGCACATTAGCAAGGAGCTGGATTGGAAGTAGAGCAGCTAGGTCTTGAATTGGCGACTATGTGGGATTCCAGTGTTGCAGACAGTGTCTGTTATGCCACAATGCTGGACCCTCTTCATTGAATTTTATGTAGGGTATAGTTCTGTGTTTTTTCTCTTGCCATGTCTAGGCCTCCCTGACAGTAAGTTAAAAGGACCCTTAAAGTGAACTGATTTTAAGTCATTTTGTAAGCATAGTGCTGTATTATTTGCTATTGGTTTAGTTGTAGCATCTGTGATAAAGATTTGAGTTTATTACTAGAGAGCATAAGCAGTCACTCCAGAATGGGACATGGATATGAAAAATCTCAAGAGGAAATTAGCATTAAAATGAAGATACAATATCGGAAGTCAAGCAGCCAATGCTTATTTCCTCTTTAGCTTTGGTTGAGCTGCATTTGAAATATCATATCTATTTCTACAGAGCACTGAGTTCAGAAAAAGATGTATACACCTCCAGAGTTGAAGGGGGAGTAAGCAGAATGGGAAGAAGATCTGTGTGAGGAACAGGTAAGCCATGGGGGTGTCTGTCGGTGAAATACTGAACTCACTGGAAGACTAATCACTGGTTTCAAGGATCTCCAGGGCTCTTGACTAGTAGCTACACACAAATTGTTCTAATGAGAGGATCTGGAAACAGAATGTGTTTATGAAGTTACAAAGAAAGAAATGAAAATAATTCATGATATAAGAATTTTTATTTCTAAGAGAAAATTTATTTCTAATATTCTGGGATATATAACACTTTTCTAGCTGTAGATTTCTTAGTAGACTGTTTCTTCCATCTAATTTACAATTTAACAAATTGACTCAATACTTTTTTTTTTTTTTTGACCACAGTTCTGTAATTTCAGGTAACCTGACTTTTCTTGGACTCAGTTTCCTTGTTTTGCCATATGGTATGCCCTATGTAAATGTAAAATGTTATCTTTATTGTCTGGCAAAAATATAAAGAAGTGTTAAGTCCCTAGTATGATTTATGGAATTTTAAAATAAATAATGGTTTTAAGTATCTGAGGTAAGTTGTTCTGGGGAGGCAGATAAATCACTAGCCTAATTTTCCAACATCATAGCCTTATCTATCATATTTTTAAGACTAAAAGATTTTTAAGACTAAAAGATTTTTATTTGAAATGGATGGAGGATGGGGGGAAAGAGAAAGAGAGAAAGAGAAAGAAATCGAGATCTTTCATCTGCTGGTTTACTCCTAAAATGCCTGCAATAGCTGGGACTGGGCCAGGCTGAAACTTGGAGACTGGAGACTCAATCTCCCTTGTGGTGTGTCTGGCACCTAAGTACTTGAGCCATCACCTAGAATCAGAAGCAGAACTAGAACTTGAACCAGGCACTCTGATATGGGATGCAGGTGTTGCAAGTGGCATCTTTAGCCACAAATGGCATCTTTAACCAAAAAACCTATCTCCTGTATTATAATTTTAAGATTACGTTTACCCATCCAAGTTCACATAGGAAAATATGCAGTCATGTTTGACACGATATCCTTCCATTTCCTTTTCCTCGGTAATTCTTGGCTATTTTTGTTCTACTATAATGAAGCTTCATCTTCCCTCATCCCTATCTTTGGTCCATCAGATTCTCACTGTCTGGCATGAACATTTTGTAGATGAATTTCTGGCTGCTGAAATCTAGGCCTGTGAGCCATGCTGGATCCTGTTTATAACTGGTAGACATATTTCCTTTGTGCACTTACTTCATGTCATTTCTTAGCTTGCAGTGCTGTGCTTCCTGTTTTTTTTTTTTTTTTTTTTTTTTTTTTTTTTTTCCCCCATATCACAGGTTTGGCTAGTCAGGCCCAGAGCATTCTGCGTAGTGTTATTTGAGACCATTTTGCTCTTTCTGTCTGACAAGTCTGTCACCTGTGCCCCACAACATGATCTAATTTAATCAACCCAGAGTATCTTGAAATTGGTCCTTCCTACTGATGACACTTGAGATGCTTTTTATTTTGATGGTGCATGAATAAACTTCAACAATGTGTATATTTAATAGGAAGGAGAAAAATATGCATGTTTCAGTATATAGTTTGATCAGTTTCTATTGCTTAGACTATTAAAGATTTAAAAAATATTAACTTCAATGTTAAGTAATATGATCAACTGAAATACATAAAAAGAATGATGGAACATTCTGGGGGCAGATTCTCTCTCCTGGTACCAATTTCACTTCAGAATTCTCCATAGAGTCAACAGTGCCAAATCTGGAAAGACATAGGAGAATAAAGACAGCAAATAGGGGCTGGCATTGTGGCGCAGCAGTTTAAGCTGCCGCCTGTGATGCCAACATCACATATGAATGCTGGTTCAAGTCCTAGCTACTGTACGTCTGATCCAGCTCCCTGGCAGTGTGCCTGGGAAAGCCGCAGAAGATAGACCAAGTAACTGGGCCCTGCCACCCACGTGGGAGACTGATGGAGTTCCTGGTTTCCGGCTCTAGCCTGGTATACCTGGGTGTTGTACCATTTGGCGAGTGAACCAACAGATGAAGTATCTCTTGGTGTCTCTATCTCTCTGTCTCTCTCTCTCTCTGATTCTGCCTTTTAAACAGCTAAATCTTAAAGCAAACAAAAGCTGTTGGTTTTGAGCAACAGTGGTGATACATGAACACAAAATTTCATTGAATGGTGAATGTGGGAGTTGAGTGGCTATCTGTGGGCTGTTGCTTCTTTGAATGGTTAAGAGAGAGATGCTGAAGAGACAACCTAGGGAGCAGTGGTACCCAGGCAAGCAGCATCCTCCTGAAGACTGGACAAGTATGCCTAAAGGAGAAACTCTGCTCACTGAGAAACACCAGGGTGGCAGACATCTTTAGCTCTTCTGTCTTCTGATGCTACCACCACTCCTTGCTTTTCTGTTGTTATCATGCATGATCTGGATTCTCTGAGTGGAGGCCAGGGTCCAGACGCTAGCCTAGATTAGGCAGGGTGTGCAAATAGATATGGGAGGCAAAAAAATGTACTGTGGGCAGTTGAAGCTTGTCTGATGCCTTTCTTTATACCGGAAAAACTAGTCCTAGAGTACTTTGAGGAAGAAAACCAAAGTGGCAATTAATGTTATTTATCCTCCTCCCACTCCATAAATATAGGCTTTCCTCAGGGTTAAATCATCGGATGTTTATTATTTTTCCCTTGTCCTTTTCCCCCAGGCTTCTCCTGAATTCCCACGTCCCCTGTGCATGTGCCTGGCGGTGTGTCAGTCCAGTGATCTCACTGTCTTTGAGATTTCCTTCCCTCTTCCCTTGGAATTAAATTCATCAATTCTGAAGCCAGTTTTTACCAACAGTTAGTGGTTTCTTATAAAATTAGGCAACCAGTGCTTTAGCTTGTTATCAGACAAGAGAGGAAATTCAACTGAAGGCATGTCTGAGCATAAACTGATCTGGGCGTTGGATGTCAAGTTCTTGTTTCAGCTCTGCTCTTCACAAGCTGGGTGTTGTGCAACTTGGTTTTGTCATCAGTAATGTGAAGGGGTGGAACCAGAACAAGCCATAGTTCCCAGCAGCTTAATGAGACTGAAGGATGACTTTTGGTTCATTTTAAGAGTATAATGTGTTACTTCCATGGATATATGGGCAGCAAGTGCATCTGATTTAAAAGTTCATTTAAGAGATACATGATTAGGTTTACTCCAACTACTTAACAGCATTCTGGGTGTTGAGGGGGAAAAAGTAACTAGTGTTGCCAGTTCCTGGTTTGAATGAAAAATGGGCATTATTTTGAGAAGTTGGGACAAGAAAGAGGTAATGAGGTTTGGCAGATGAAGGTGGGTTGCTTATCTACCAAAACATAGACTTTGCACATTAGTTAATGAATAATAGTATTTCGCAGTTTGGCTTCAAGAAAATCTAAACAAAACCACTTGGACATTTCAAGCTGAGATTTGAAGAAATCTGGCAACTTATTCTCCCACGTCGGAGGATTTTATGTTTATATTTTGGCATGTAAAGCTCCACCTCCTGCTCAATGCTTTTCGTTTAGAAACTCACAAAATTATAAGTCTGACTGTTCCATTTCCAGGCAGTGCTAGTAAACTTTCCATGTTTTCAGAGTTTTCCACAGATCTGAATAGCACTTGGTCTGATGGTAAACTGCATTCATGTGTGTGATGGGAAGAGTTTGTAGCCTCTATTTTTCTTCTCAGAGGAAGTGTAGCATTTAACTTTAGGATGCACACAGTGTATTCTGCTTGTGCATCTGGCCATTTTGCTTGACAGGTTAGAAATATGCTGTGGAATTTTCAAATGTCACTAGGAGTTATTTCTAAATTTTGAATCTTGAAATGAGATATTTTATGAAAATCCTTTATATTCTGGAACTTAGAATTTTGCAGATCATTTATTGCAGACCTCTTTACCATGAGGCTATTCCAATCTTGATGCTCAGACTACACATCAGTTCTTAAGCAACATGACTCAGAAGGGTTTATTTCAAGAATAAGAAACATTGTCTAACTTTCTGGCTGAAAATAAGTATCTTCTCTTTCTGTATTGTGTCTTCCATTTCCAAAAATAAATTTTAATGAATACTTGGGGAGCAAAAAGAACAAAGCTGGAGGCATACCATATCTGACTTCAAAATATATTACAAAGCTATAGTAATCAAAACAGCATACTGACCAGAAAATAAATACAGACCAATGGAACAGAACAGAGCCCATTAATAAATCCATGAACTTATGGTCAGTTGATTTTTGCGAAGAACCCACAATACATCATGAACAGTTTCATCAATAAATGGCATCTGCGTTACTGTATTTTTTTTTTTTTTAAGATTGATTGATTTATTTGAAAGAGTTACACAGTGAGGGAAGGAGAGGCAGAGAGAAAGAGAGAGGTCTTCCATCTGCTGGTTCACTCCACAACTGACCTCAGTGGCTGGAGCTGCGCCCACCTGAAGACAGGAGCCAAGAGCTTCCTCCGGGTCTTCCCATGTGGGTGCAAGGGCCCAAGGACTCAGGCCGTCTTCCACTACTTTCCCAGGCCATAGCAGAGAGCTGGATCCAAGTTGAGTAGCAAGTTCTCAAACCATGCCCATATGGAATGCGGGCACTTCAGGTGGTGTCTTTACCCACTATGCCACAGCGCTGGCCCCAACATTACTGTATTTCTGCCTGCCAAAGAGGGTAGTTAGATCCTTACCTTACATTATATAAAAAATTAACTAAAAATGGATTAAAGTTTAAATGTAACAACTATAAAAACTACTGGAAGAAAATATGGGTGGGTTGGTATTGTGGTGCAGTGGGTTAAAGCCCTGGCCTGCAGTGCTAGCATCCCATATGGGTGCTGGTTCGAGTCCTGGCTGGTCCACTTCCAATCCAGCTCCTGCTAATGTGCCTGGGAAAGCAGTGGAGGATGGCTCAAATGCTTGGGCCCCTGCACCCACATGGGAGACCTGGAGGAAGCTCCTGGCTCCTGGCTTCGGATTAGCTCAGCTCTAGCTGTTGTAGCCATTTTGGGGGTGAACCAGCGGATGGAAGACCTCTGTCTGTTTCTGCCTCTCTCTGCAACTCTTTCAAATAAATAAAATAATTTTTCTTAAAAAAGAAAATATGGGTGAAAAAGCTCTCTGCCATTTATCTGGGCAATGATTTTTTTTGGTTATGATCCTCAAAACACAAATAATAAAATGAAAAATAGAAAATGATATAATTATTTTAATTAATATTTAATTAAATAAGTAATTTTAAATAAATTAATGTAGATTAAATTAAAATTTAATTTATAAGAAAAATAGAATAATCCCTGGTAAAGATAAGGAAAAAAGGGAACCTTTGTTTGCTGTCGATAGACAATACAAACTAGTATAACTATAATGGAAAAAAAAGTGGAAGTGCTTCACAAAAACTAAAAATGAAACTACCATATGATCCAGCAGTGCCCCTACTGGGTATACAGTCAAAAGAAATGAAATCAGGAGCCGGCACTATGGCATAGTGGGTAAAGCTGCCGCCTATCGTGCCAGCATCTCTTATGGGCACCGGTTCAAGTCCTGGCTGCTCCTCTTCTGATCCAGCTCTCTGCTGTGGCCTGGGAAAGCAGTGGAATATAGCCCAAGTCCTTGGGCCCCTGCACCCACAAGGGAGACTCACAAGAGGCTCCTGGCTCTGGCCGTTGTGGCTATTTGGGGGAATGAATCAGCAGATAGAAGATTCATTCTCATTCTCATTCTCATTCTCATTCTCATTCTCATTCTCATTCTCATTCTCTCTCTCTCTTCCTCTCTCTCTCTCTTCCTCCCTCTCTCCCTCCCTCTCTCTTTACTTCTGCCTCTCTGTAACTCTGACTTTCAAGTAAAATAAAGAAATCAGTATGTCAGAGAGATAGAACCATTTCCAATTTCATTGTAGCATTATTCACAATAGTCAAGATAAAGAATCAAACTCTTATCACTGAATTAATGGAGAAAATATGGAATACATGCATAATGGAAAACTACTAAACCATGAAAAATAATTATATCTTGCCATTTATGACAATGTGGTTGAACCTGGAAGTTATTATAGTAAGTGAAGTAAGCCTGACACAGAATGACAGATGTGACATGGTTTCACTTACATGGGAATCTAAAAATGTTAGACTGAAGAGAAGTAGAGAATATTAGTGGTTATTTATGATTGGGTATGATTAGGGAGATACTGCTCAAAGGACACAAAATGTCAGGAGATAGTTCAGGGCTGGTGTTGTGGCATAGCAGGTTAAGCCTCCACCTGGCATGCTGGCATTCCATATAGGTGTTGGTTCGAGACCTGACTGCTCAGCTTCCAATTGAGCTTCCCTCTATGTGCCTGGAAAAGCAGTGGAAAATGGCTCAAGTGGAATATGGCCCAATGGGAGACCTGGAAGAAGCTCCTGGCTCCTAGCTTCAGCCCAGCCAAACCCTGGCCCAGTGCAGTCATTTGGGGAGTGAACCAGTAGATCAAAGATCAATTTCTATCTTCCTTTTGTTGTAACTCTGCCTTTCAAATAAAAAAGAAAATAAATACTTAAAAATATTCCAATGTGGTGGTTATATCTATCTATTATCTATCTATCTATCTATCTATCTATCTATCTATCTATCTATAGAGAGATAGTTCAGGCGATCTGTATAGCATGGTAACCATTGTTAAGAGGATAGGTTCTGTTATCACAACAAAGTGATAAGCATGTGTGGTGTTACATATGTTATTTGTGCATTCTAAAGTAGATACATATTTCAAAACATTGTAACTGATAAACATATATACTTTTATATTTTTCAATAAATAAATTAGAAAAAAAACTTGGTGAGGAAAAGAATTTTGTCACAGTCCAGCATTATAATTCTTTTTCAGGGTGTTCAATGCTTTCTCAATATAACAACAAATTAACACCTGTGGTGCTGGCTTTCCATATGGGCACTGGTTCATGCCTTAGCTGCTCTACTTCTGACCCAACTCCCTGCTAATTGCCTGGGAAAAGCAGTGGAAAATGGCACAAGCATTTAGGCCTCTGCCACCCACGTGGGAGAACCAGATGAAGTTTCTGGATCCTGGCTTTGGCCTGGCCTGGCCCTGGCCACTGAGGCCATCTGGGGAGTGAACTATCAGGTGGAAGCTAACTTGCTCTATGTCTTTGTCTCTGATTCAAATAAAAAATTAAAAAATAAACTCATCCTGAAGTCTTTATGATTGGGAAAAATCTGAGCCTTTTTTCCCCTCTTCTAATTAGGAAAGGCAGCATATTTTTAACTGGACCTGTGTGTAGATAAGAAGTATCTTTGCTCCCCCACTTTCCTCATTCTTTTGTGTAAGGTATGAGTGTGCAGAAGGGAGTGTGCCTGAGAAACTACTGGAACTCATAAGAATTTGGCAAAGTTGCAACACACAAAAATCAATAACATTTGTGTACACAAACAATGCTCTGGTTGAGAAAGAACACCTAAGATCATTCCCCTTTACAATAGTACAACAAACTTAAATACCTTGGGATAAATTTAACCAAGGACATAACAGATTTCTTTAATGAAAATTATAAACCAGTAAGGAAAGAAATAGAAGTATACAAAAAGAAATGGAAAATCTTCCATGTTCATGGGTTGGGAGAATTAATATCATGAAAATGTTCATATTACCCTAAGCAATTTTCAGGTTCAATGCAATCCCAGTCAAAATGCCAATGACATGCTTCTCACATCTAGAGCAAAAATGGCCCTGAAATTCATGGATACACAAGAGACACTGAATAATTAAAGCAATCTTAAACAAAAACAAAATTGGAGGCATCACAATACCAGATTTCAAGACATAGGGCAGTTATAGTCAAAACAGCCTGGTACTGATACAAAAATAGGCATGTGGACCATTGGAACAGATTAGAAACCCCAGAAAATTCACATATCTACAACCAACTAATCTTTGACAAGTGAGCTGAAATCACCCCCTAGAGAAAAGAAAGTCTCTTCGACAAATAGTGTTGGAAAATTGGATCTCTGCATGCAGAAGTATGAAAAAAAGCTCCATACCTTACACTGTTGGTGGGAATGTAAACTAGTATAACCATATGGAAGACAGTATGGCCATTTCTTAGAAATCTGAAAATTGCTCTATAATATCCCTGAGCCATCACTCCTGGGAATTTTCCCAGAGAAAATGAAATCAGAATATGAAAGAGTTATCTGTACCCCCATGTTTAGAACAGCTCAATTCACAATACCTAAGATATGGAATCAACTGAGATGTCCATCAACTGATGACTGGATAAAGAACTTCCTGGTTGAAATATTACACAGCCCTAAAAAAGAATGAAATATAGTCTTTCACAACAAAATAGATACAATTGGATACTATTTCTTAGTGAAATAAGCAAGACTCCCCCCAAATAAACTTTTTTTCTTTGAATTATAGAAACTAATATCTAGAATACCAAAAAATATATATGAATGAAGTTGACATTTTGAGATTTGATTATTGTTTATAGCCCATGTCTATACTTCTGAGGAACAAGTGGTCTTTTTACTTACGACTTGTTGAATTTTTTTTTTAAGATTTATCTAATTATTTGAAAGAGTTACACACAGAGAGAGGTATTCCATCTGCTGTTTCACTCCCTAGTTGGCTGCAAATGGGTGGAGCTGCACTGATCTGAAGCCAGGAGCTAGGAGCTTCCTCCAGGTCTTCCCACATGGATGCAGGGGCCCAAGAACTTGGACCATCTTCTACTGCTTTCCCAGCCCATACCAAAGAGCTGGATCAGAAGTGGAGAAGCTGGGACTTGAACTGGCACCCATATGGGATGCCAGCACTGCAGGTGGTGGCCTCACCTGTTATGCCACAATGCCAGCCCCTTGTTGAATTCCTTATATAGTGGATGATTAAACTTGAGATTATAATTTGAATTTGTGTAATTGCCAAAAACTCAATGAAAAATAAGGAAAGAGGAGAGAGAGTGGGAGGGAAATCTGTTCCCTTAAATAAATAAATAAAACCATAATACAAAGATCTCCAACTCTGCCAAGAAGTCAGAATAAGACATACTCAGGCAATTTTAGTTTTACAGTCCTCCAACTGCATAAAATAACCAACTGGGTATATAATTCAGGCCTGTTAAATTACCCAGTCTTCACATGAGAATTAGATGGTACCTATCTATTACCTAGATATAATTTCTAAAATATTAAAATGATAAGAGAGTGTGCAATCAGATATGGGTTAGGAAATACATTTGCTAGCTTTGCACGGACAAAGTCTTGTCACTGCTCTGGGAATAGTTCTAACTCCTGTATGACTAGAATCTTTGGCACATACTTGTATATTCCCCACTAAGAAAATTATCAACCATATTGTGGGTGGCCATTATATTTTACTTAATAGATGGATTTTACCTTCTACTTTGTGGATAAATGTGCTTTATGATCAGAATTAAAGGAATGCTTATCCCTAATTATACCTGATCTTTCACTTTGCCAAAGAAGATTAGAATAGTATTACAGAGCTTATTCAACTATGATATTGTGATAGATTAAGAAATACAAAGGAGGGCCAATATTGTGGTACAGCAGGCTAAGCCACTGCTTGTGACACCAGCATCCCATTTTAGAGCATTGGTGTGACTAACAACTGCTCTGCTTCTGATCTAACTTCTTGTTGCTGTGCCTGGGGAAGTGCTGCATGATGGTCCAAGTGCCTGGGCCCCTCCCTGCCACCCTCATAAGAGACTTGGAGGCAGTTCTTGGCTCTGGGTTATATATTGATTAGCCCTGGTCATTGTGGCCATTTAGGGAGTGGACCAGCCTCGCAGATGGAATATTCATTCATTCATTCTCTCTCTCTTTCCCTCTCTCTCTTTCTCTGTCTCTCACCTTTCCTGTCGCTCTGCCTTTCAAATAAATAATTAAAAGAGAAAGTCTCTCTCTGTCACTCTGCCTTTCAGGTTAATAAAGACAAGTAAATAAACCTTTTTTCCAAAAGCTTTTAAAAATTTTACAGGCATCTTGTCTCAGGTACTGGTATAAGAGTTTCTAAAATGCTTGGAATTTTCAGAGTGATAGAAGTAAGAGTAGTGTCTTTTTTTTTTTTTAATCATAAAAATCCCTTCTGACTAGACCTGAGCCTGTGCTAATCAGGTGACTTGGCAGGCTCCTGCATAGCTTCAGGATTGGGGCCTGCTTGCCAGAGGGGTTCCCAATGTGAAAAGAGGGCTGGAACATGGAACCCCCCCACTTTGGTTTCTGGGGAAGGAAGAGAAGCTAGAGGTTGAATCAGTCACAAATGACAAATGATTTATTCAGTTTAATGGAACCTTCATAAAATCCCCAAAATGGGGTTCAGAGAACTTCCAGGTTGGTAAACACATGGAAGTACTGGGAGGTAGCATATCTGGAGAGGACATGAAAAATCTACTCCACTTCTCATACACTTTGCCCTGTTTATCTTTTTTTACATAGCTATTTCTGAATTGTATCCTTTAAGGTAGACTGGTGATGGCAAACAGTTTTCCTGAGTGCTGTGAGCCATTCTAGCAAGTTATCAAACTTGTGGAAGAGGTTTTGGAAGCCCCAATTTATAGCCAGTTGGTGAGAAGCTCAGAGGTCAAGGATTTTGGAATGGGTGGGTGGAGTCCTATGAGAAGGAGTTCTAAACTTGTGTGGTCAGATGTAAACTCTGAGTAGTTAGTGACAGAATTGAGTTGAATCATGTGATACCCAGTTAGCATGTGGAGAGTTGCAGTGCAGCTATTGGTGTGGACAGAAATCTTACTAGCAACCATGTTGATTTCTTCTAAGAATTATTTTCTTAAAGGGCTTGCAAATTGCTGTCTTCCCAATATTTTTTTTTCATTTGCAGATATCACTTATTTAATATTCATAAATATTCATCTTCTCTTTAAGATAGATTAGCATTTTATTAACTATCAGTTTTGTAGCTCTTCTTCTCATAGTCATATTCTCTCCAAAATGGTTGCTGGCATTGTTTATGAGAAGTATTGTAAAAAAATAAAATGTTTGGATTGAAAACATTTTGACTGAATATTTCATGTATGCACTAGTCAGTTTTTTGTCACTATAACTACCTGAAATAACCTACTTAAGGAGGAAGGTGGTTAATTTTGACTCATAGTTTTGGAGGTTCACAGTCCCAGATCTGGCAGATCCCATTGGTTTGGACTTCTGGTGAGGCCACAGGATGTTGATGGTGGGCTGTTTGCAAAGGAATGATCTCATTGAGATCTGGGAAGAAGGGAGAGAGAGAGCAAGCAACTGGACCTTACTCAGGCTTTTATAACCATTCCTCCCAGAAGAACTACCTCTCAAAGGCATGCCCTCAATGACTAACAGCCTCCCATTATGCACACCTCTTTGACACTGCAATTGGATTAGTTTCTACCCTCTCAGCACCATCAACACAAGACTGCACTTTTATTAATTAATTAATTAATTTTTGTCAGGCAGAGAGAAAGAAAGGTCTTCCTTCCATTGGTTCACCACCCAAATGGCCGCTACAGCTGGCGCACCGTGCCGATCTGAAGCCAGGAGCCAGGTGCTTCCTCCTGGTCTCCCATGCGGGTGCAGGGCCCAAGTACTTGGGCCATCCTCCACTGCCTTCCCGGGCCACAGCAAAGAGCTGGACTGGAAGAGGAGCAACCGGGACAGAATCTGGTGCCCCAACCAGGACTAGAACCCAGGGTGCCGGTGCCACAGGTGGAGGATTAGCCAAGTGAGCCACGGCGCCAGCCAATACTGCATTTTAATCATCTGTGATTATTAGGAGCTATATCCTATTTAAATCATAGAAATAAGTACTGAATTTATATAATAATCACTATTTATTTGGTGTTAAGTACTTGTCACTGGATTTCAATCCTCAAGTCTTGAGTTATGCTCATTTTATAATGGGAAGGACTGATGATTGGAGTGGTTAAGTAACCTGCTCAGTGTCATTAGTAAGTAACTGAGATGTTCTCAAGTGATGAAGATATAAAGAGAAAGGTGATGAGATGGGTACTGTGTTCTGAATGTTTCCCCAGAGAGTCACGTATTGAGCCTTACTCTCCATGTGGAGTCCTCGCGGTTGGGATGAGTGCATGGTTAAACAGGTGTGAGACAGCTGCTTCCTTTCTTTTTGGTCCTTCCATTTTTCCATGTGAAGACATGGCAAGAAGGCTATCACCAGGTACTGAATGCTGGCACCTTGAACTTGGATTTCTCAGTTTCCAGAATCATAATAAATAAATTCTATTATTTGTAAACTACTTAGTCTCAAGTACCTTATAGCAGTACAAGGGGACTAAGATAGTGGACGAGTAAAAATTAATGTGAAGAGTAGAGAGAAAAATTGACCATATTCAATATGATGCATAATATGTTAGGAGTATGTTACTTATCTTTAGCTGAGTCTTAAGGCTTATTGTTCTTATATAGTTCCAGAGGAAATAAAAAATAATAAGGCATGTTTTTGCTCAAATATAATGGTACAGAGAAAATATGTTTCCACATACATCCCACCCCAATCTACAAGATGCCCACTTATAACTTTGCTGAAGGAGAATTTTTTTATGATGCATGGTTGGGACCATTTCAAACACTCCAGTCCCAAATGTGGTCAAACAGGAATCAGATGAATTGTCAATGTTATTACAGAAAGATTCAAATTGGAAGATTGAAAAAAAAACCCCTAGATTCTATGAAAATAAGGATATTCATGTATGTGGGGGGTATTTTGAAGAAATAATAGTCGAATGGGTTCTGTATTTATATCTGATGACTCTCCACTGTGTCACCTATTACTTGCTAAATAACAGACATTTCACCCAGTACACAATCAATTGTTGTGAAGCAGAAAGATGAATTGAAATAACTGGGACTATTTATTGGGAAAATGCAATTAAATGGTAGCATGTAAAACATAGCCAGTCAGAGTAATTAAGCCTTTTCTTATTCATAATTGCATTCATTTTTATAAATTCTCTGAAAGTTTAGGCTAAAGAAATCTTTGAGTTGTGCATTATTCAGCAAACTATAGATAGATCATACTTTTAGTAAGAAGTTGGAAATGAAATGCAAGCTCTATTTTGTTCTGTTGTGGCTTTAGTAGATACCACAGCATAATATAAGATTTGAAGTTCATTCATATGTTTTCATGTCCCAAGGCATTTTGTGACAGTGAGCCTTTTTATGGTCGGTCACTTTTTACACATCAGAAAAAGGCTGGGAGTGAAGTGCAAACAGAAGGATATTTGTATTCTTCGTGTAAATTAAAATGACAACTCCATTGGCTACCTGTAGAATGGTACCA